TCACTCAACACAGCCACACACTGTTAAAGCAATTTGAAATAAGAGCAATGAGGTTATCAAAAATATTTTTAAATTTAACATGTTTCTTATCAATGTTCTTCCTGAATGAGTGGTTTTGATAGCCAAAATGAGGAAATGACATGAAAACAGGAAGTTGAGCCCCATTAAGACACTTCTGTAACTATTTTGTGTAAAATAATTTAAGTTACAAATAAAAAATAACTAAAATACCTATGACAACTTGGATGTTTCTCAATGTTTTTTCCAACTTATACAATGCTAACATATTGGGGCTTGGTATGAAAATCCTAACTATTAGTGATGTGGAGGTCGCGAATGAACCAGTTCTAAGAGTCGTCTCTATGAAGTGAACGACGGGAGCAGGCTCGTCAATGGGAGCCGTCACCCCATTACATAGGCGTAGCCGTGGCCGCCCGCCACGACTGAAATCCCAGCGCCGCGCATACAAGATCCCGTTTTATAGATTAAAAAAAATAATTTTGAGACTTGAGATGTGTCATAATCCCCCCACCACCACCACAGCTGAAATAATTGCTAGGGGAAACACTGCCCTCCCTCCCCTCTCTCCTTGAGAGGAAAGTGTGACGAAGACAGTGAGAAAATAGCGACAGTCGAAAGTTGAGATTTCTTAAAGTGCTCAGTAAATCAAATCTATATAAATGATAATTTTATTCATTGCATTTTTTTTACGTTAGTAAATAATTTTACATGTCGTTTTGCATTATTTTAATGATAAATATACTTCACGCAACAGGACATCTGAGGAACCATTTGGGAGCCAAAAGAGCAGGCTCTTCTTGGTGAGCTGAGCCAAAAGGACCGACTCTAAGAAAAGCCAGACTTCACATAACTACTAAATATTGTCTTATAATACTCTACAGAGCAGGATCAAAATAAATTTAAACCATATTAGTTAATATTTTATACAAAGTTTATCAATTTCCAATGACTTACAGCACCCGTAGGACGCCTGTTACGATATCATTGGTCATTTTGAAGCGATAAATATCAGCGCGACTTAGATTCTAACCAGACAATAACAAGCCCTCTGATGAAGCAGTAAGTGGCTCTTAAAAGAGCCGTTGTGGTGATATTGAAGCTGGAAGACTTTATGCTCGCTCTCCACGGATGCGGCGGGCCAGTTGGATGTCTTTAGGCATGATGGTGACCCGCTTAGCGTGGATGGCGCACAGGTTGGTGTCCTCGAACAGGCCCACCAGGTAAGCCTCACTGGCCTCCTGCAGAGCCATGACGGCGGAGCTTTGGAAGCGCAGGTCGGTCTTGAAGTCTTGAGCGATTTCTCTGACCAGGCGCTGGAAGGGCAATTTACGAATGAGCAGCTCAGTGGATTTCTGATAACGACGGATCTCTCGGAGAGCCACGGTACCGGGCCTGTAACGGTGAGGCTTCTTCACACCGCCGGTAGCCGGAGCACTCTTCCTGGCTGCCTTGGTGGCCAGCTGCTTCCTGGGGGCTTTGCCACCAGTAGATTTGCGAGCGGTCTGCTTGGTTCTAGCCATTGTGAGTAGTTTGTCAGTTTGGGACTGAAGGAAATATGACCTGAACGAGCCGAGAGTCGCTGCTCTTAAAGAGTGAGAGCAGCTGCGGGACGGTGACGTAGCTTCACGGCTTCGGCTCGTGATTGGTGACCGTCTACTCCTGAAACTCAGTCCCGCCCAGAGCAGCGGTTCCCCGCCTGAATGCTGGCCGCTTATTGGAGATACGCTGTGTTCAAAATGCTTCTCTCCTCCTCAGCTCTTCTGGTTGGCTGCCACCAGTTTCTCTCCGCTCTGTGCAGAAATATAAGGAGGTTTGGGGCTGCGTCTCGCCACTTTTTCTCGAGTATCTCCTTCAGGAACAAATTTCAGCAATGAGTGGTCGTGGTAAAACCGGAGGCAAGGCCAGAGCTAAGGCCAAGACTCGCTCCTCCCGTGCCGGGCTCCAGTTCCCAGTGGGCCGTGTTCACAGGCTGCTTCGTAAAGGTAACTATGCAGAGCGTGTCGGTGCAGGCGCCCCGGTCTACCTGGCTGCTGTGCTAGAATATCTGACGGCTGAGATCCTGGAGCTGGCTGGAAACGCCGCCCGCGACAACAAGAAGACTAGGATCATCCCCCGTCATCTGCAGCTGGCTGTCCGCAACGACGAGGAGCTCAACAAGCTGCTGGGTGGAGTCACCATTGCTCAGGGTGGTGTGCTGCCTAACATCCAGGCTGTGCTGCTGCCCAAGAAGACCGATAAGCCCGCCAAGACCAAGTAAAGCTGCTGCTTCTCATCGCTACCAGCCCCAAAACGGCTCTTTTAAGAGCCACACAATCTTCACAAAGAGCTTTCATCTTTGTTTCCATAACTGAATATAGGAACAGTCCTTTAAATGCTTATGAATTACATTATTCGAGCGTGTTCCACTTCTCTAGTCTTCAGCACTCATCACAATTATACAAGCTGATCATGTAGTGTCTAAGAATTAACATTTCGAGAGGATGGATTGTATTAAGGTAAGTTGTGCTGTAATGTAGTGATGATGTGAAGCCATTTGAACCGACAAAGTATTACAATCCAATTGTATTGAAAAAAGGTTCAAGGTTCAATGCTTCAAAACTCTGGGAGGACATCTGCTGGTTAATGTTTGTATTTCATTGTATTGTCAGCCAATTCTACTGAAAATGAATGGTGTATTGAACTTTATGGACAAATAAAGCATTAAAAAGCTTCCTCAGGATCATATAATATCTTGAATTTGAACATTACATTAAATATACTAAATTGCTTTTCTTGGTGTGAATACTTGAAATGAAACGATGTTTATTTTTATGGGATACGTGATGAAATATCTAATTTACACATTAACATTCTCTACATATTCAAATATTTTACTTTTCACATTTCTATTGGATTATTAGGCAGGAATAATTAGCTCAATTTATGTATCTTTTTTAGAAATAGAGTAACAAAATGAAGATTAGAAAATTCACATAAGGATAGGACATACTAAATTCCATTACATGTACTGTCACGATCTGCCCCTGCCCAACCTGACTGTGTTCCTCTCCTGCCGTGATTGCCCTTATTGTTCTCACCTGTCCCTCGTTTACCTGCCCATGTTTCCCCAATTAGCCCTCTGTATTTAAACCACCTGTTTGCCCCTGTCCTTTGTCAGTTCATTGTTGTTGTCTGCTGGTGTTCCTGTTCATCACATCCTGCCATTAAACCATTTTTACTTTTACTGAAGCCTGCATTTTTCCTCCTGCTCAGCTCAACCACACATGGTCCATCATCTCCACCTCCTACACCGTGACCGAATGAACTGACCAAACCGGGATCTGTGGCGAGCACTTCTAAATCTCCCTGGAGGATTTATTTTTTCTTTTTTGTCCTTTAGCAGAAGGAGATTCTGGCCCAGGGTGTTGGCGCATCCTACCTGTTCTCCGGGGTGGTCAAGCCTCTGGGTGGGTTTCGGCGCATCCAGTTCATTTCCTGCGGTGGTCGAGCCCTTCTCCTCTCCTGCTTTCTGCTCCCGTCCTGTTTTTCTCATGGAAGCTGCGGATTCTGGAGCTCTGAAGGAGTTACACCCCCTACGCACGCCATCATTCTCCGGGGTGGTAGGGTTGGTCTCCCCGCTCTTCTCCTGCTTCCCTGCACCCAAGCCTCTGCCTGAGACCCAGCTAATCGTGCCGTGTACCTGCTCTGACCGGTTGTCGAGCACCTGCCGCCGAGCTGGGTTCCCTCGCATCGCTCCTGCCGTTCGTTCACTTCCTGGTCCACGCTGTGGGGCTTATGCCTGCAGGTCTCATGCTGCTGCAGCGTCTGCTGGGTCCCACGCCTGCTCCTGCAGTTCTCTGCCTGGGTCCCACGCCTACTGCTGCAGCCCCTGCCGGGTCCCATGCCTGCTCCTGCAGTTCTCTGCCTGGGTCCCACGCCTGCTCCTGCAGTTCTCTGCCTGGGTCCCACGCCTGCTCCTGCAGTTCTCTGCCTGGGTCCTGCTCCTGCAGTTCTCTGCCTGGGTCCTGCTCCTGCAGTTCTCTGCCTGGGTCCTGCTCCTGCAGTTCTCTGCCTGGGTCCTGCTCCTGCAGTTCTCTGCCTGGGTCCTGCTCCTGCAGTTCTCTGCCTGGGTCCCACACCTGCTCAAGTCCAGCCCTGTTCCAGTCATGTCAAGTCCCTGTTCCAGTCATGTCAAGTCTCCAGTGTCGTGTGGCCTTATGGGCGTCTGGTATCCGCCCTTAAGGGGGGGGGGGGGGGGGGGGTACTGTCACGATCTGCCCCTGCCCAACCTGACTGTGTTCCTCTCCTGCCGTGATTGCCCTTATTGTTCTCACCTGTCCCTTGTTTACCTGCCCATGTTTCCCTAATTAGCCCTCTGTATTTAAACTACCTGTTTGCCCCTGTCCTTTGTCAGTTCATTGTTGTTGTCTGCTGGTGTTCCTGTTCATCCCATCCTGCCATTAAACCATTTTTACTTTTACTGAAGCCTGCATTTTTCCTCCTGCTCAGCTCAACCACACATGGTCCATCATCTCCACCTTCTACACCGTGACCTGTACAACCAAACTGAAAAGCTCATCAACTATTAATTACCAATAAAAGAAAAATCATACCAAACTAGATTTTAATTTAATTAAAGGAAAATGACAGACGGTCTAAAAGATATAGCCCTACAATATGCACCAAGTATTACTACTATAAAGGTAATTTACTAGACTAGACCAAATACATTTTCAAACCTTATTTGGAGAGATTAAATTGAAACATTCCCACATCTCAGAACGCCCTCTTTTTGCTACAGGGTCCATTTTTGTGACTCGGTGTTTTATCACTGAATACTGAATCCTGAACCGTCAATCTCAGGTCATACAAACCTGTATGGCAAGCCAAATAAGCATTTATTCTGATATCAGGATATCAGCCAGAATTGTCATGAACATGTAAGCCATTTCTGTCCACTAGTTAACTAGTTAGCCATGTGTGTGTCAACTAGTTAAATATCGAGGGTGAAAATGTGCCCACTAGTTAACTAGTGACAGCAGAAATGCGCACTAGTTAACTAGTGAACACATTTAGGCTTCAGTAGTTAACTAGTTGACACAAAAACTGCTCACTAGTTAACTAGTAAAAGCAGAAATGCATACCAGTCAGCTACTTGAAGGTATTTGTCTCACTAGTTAACTAGTGAGGGTCAAAATGTGCACACTAGTTAACTTGTGGTAGACATAAATGCACACTAGTTAACTAGTGAACACACTGAGCAATACCGGTTAACTAGTAAGATATGAAACATTAAACTAGTTAACTAGAGAGAATTTAGGCCTTACTAGTTAACTAGTTGACATTTAGGCTGTCACTGTTTAACTAGTTGACACAAACATGGCTAACTAGTTAACTAGTGGACAGAAATGGCTTACATGTTCATGACAATTCTGGCTGACATCCTGATATCAGAATAAATGCTCATTTGGCTTGCTATAAACCTGCGCCTCTCGGTTTGCGTTGCTTTAAATGTTTGAAACAACGTGTGAAGCGGTCACGTGGGTGGAAGGGTGAATGAAGCATCGTTGCTCATTGGTCACGTGACTTTCAGTAAACAAATCAAGCTCCGACACAGTGCTTTGCTCTGCGGTGGTTCGTTTTGGTGATACAAGCTTCGAATCCTGCGTGTCACAGGTAACATCACTACTGTAATGGTGTAAATGGCTCCTGTTATTAAAAATGCCAATATTTGCTTTATAGCTTACATGTTTAAAAAAATTACATTAAATCCCCCCCCCCCCCCCCCCCCCCCCCCCCCTCCTCCAGCATAATCGGGGCATCATGCTGCCGGTCTTTGTCTGGCCAAAGGGCCTCATCAACATCACAGGCGATGTCCTCCTGGTCCAAACAGCTCTGGACATACTGCCTCGAGTGCCTCATGAAGCCCTGACAGACAAGCCTCCTCCATGGCTTGAAGCAGTGGGACCTTGCTCTGTGGATTCCTTTCGTATACCTTCCACCTCCAGGCTGAGAAAAACTCCTCAGTGGGATTGAGGAAGCGGGAATAAGGTGGAAGGTATAAAATGGGAAAACCATGGGTGGTCCTGAAACCACTCATACACCTGGGTAGCCTTGTGGAAAATTACTTTTATGCTGCAGTCCCTGATTGCAAATGGCTCACCAGACCCGAAAGTTTAGAGATTTGAATATTTGTGTGTTGTTGATTGAAGCTTTGAGAATTTATGTGGAAAGTGTGTGTAAACCTGAAAATTGTGTGTTTTGTTTTGACAGCAAGGTAATGTGAAATTAATATTAGAGTGTAAAGGAGGAAAATCAGAGTTCTAATTTGATAAGGAAATCTTAAGTAGTGATTAATTGAGTCAAGCGATTGGGAACAGAAGTAGAGGTTGTGAAAATTGTGCCTCATTTTTGCTTTTTTTGAGTTTTAGCAATAGAAAAAAACTGTAAAAGACATGACACATTGCTTGCACTGATCCTATCAGAATCCGCCAGATCTGACGGAGGAGAGGTTTTGGTGGTGTTTGGTAAATCTGTCAAGTTTTCATTCGACCATAAACCAAAACAAGTATAAAACTATGCCCACGTCATCTTTAACGCCAGTTCAAAGAGTTCTAGAGAAGTTGTCGGAGTGGCCAATCCGTAACTCTCCTCCTCAGCCAAAAGAACCAACGACAAGCTGGATAAAATCTGTTGCTGTTCCAACTACTGCAACAGTTCCTTTCAGAATAAAAGCTGAACCATCACAACCCAGGTTTGGGTCTCACTAGATGCCAACAAAATTGTCGTGACCCGGGAGTGTCTCAAGACTGGTGGTCAGCTGACGCGGCTGCTTCTACAGGCTTCGGCTCCACAAGGTCAAGCTGGACCTTTACACCTCCTGATCTAGATGGGGACTTCCGCGAAGGATGTAGACTGACAAATGACGTCAAATGTGTTTATGAATCTCCTAACCAAAGCTTAACGCGAAGACATCACCTTCATTTCCCATCAGAACTAATCGCTTCTTCGGATTTGCTGGTTCTGAGCAACATTCCACATCACACCATTCTCCGTCTCATTCACCTTAGTTACACCGTACATTTAGTGTTAAAGTTAGTCTACAGTGATCCCTCGTTTATCGCGGTAGATGCGTTCCAGACCTGGCCGCGATAGGTGAAAATCCGCGAAGTAGGGACACCATATTTACAGTATTTATTTAACAGGTACGTATTCAGTATTCAGACTTTTAAAACCCTCCCTTTACATAGTACTGTATTTTTACTTGTTTTTTTATAGTTTTATTACAAAAAGTGCATTTTATGATGAAATTGATGAAAAAAAAACAGGAATTTCTTGATATTTCGCATAGAAAAAAACCGTGAATCGGCGAATTTCCCTTGAATAAGGCTCCAAAGAAAAATACCGCGAAGTCGTGAATCCGCGATAAACGAACCGCGAAGTAGCGAGGGATCACTGTAGTTTAATTTGTTTAGTAATAAATTTTTAAACTTTTAAACTCGACTCTCTCTTCTGTTGTCTCTGAGTTATCTAATCTCTGCAATAAAAAGTTCCAATCTTCTGTATAAAATAACCCAACAGATCCATAAGGTTGATTTCATATTTCCTATGGAATCCTACGTCTCATGGCTTATTAAATAATATATAATTTAAATCATTACAGTGATCACGCCAGATCAAGCAATGGGCTGAGACATCTTCCTCCAAAATTAACAATTTATTTTCACAAACTCCATAAAAACACTTTCTTCAATATAAAAGGAAAAGAACAGTTAAAAAAATCAGAGGGGACTAATGAAAACTTCAGACTTTATAGAACTCTGCAGGACAATCTAAATACATATTTAATCAAACATGTGGTATTACAACAGGAAAATGTCTATTAACAATAATAAAGCAACTTCTGCTATGCTAATGCTAAATATATAGGACCAGGCCTTTAAGACCTGCTAATGGATAAGCGTTCTTTCTATTAGTCAATCACTGAAGAGCTCTCAATATACGCCTTGGTGATGACACCACCTCATTGGGATGAGCTGCGGTTCCCAGCCACCTTTTATCATTGAGCTAGAGCCTCATCAGAGCATGCCAAGCTCAAGACCCCAATCTCCACCTACGTTCCCATAAGTGTAAGGCTTTTCTGAACAGGGTCCTCCTCTCCTGGAACCAGACCTGGCACTATCGTTTGGGACAAAGAACTAGTTAGCTGGGCACCGAGATGTGGGCACAACTACTAAAGTGCCCGGATAGCACCTGGATAGAACATAGCGCTTCCTGGTGCCTTAGATTTTAATCAAATTTAATTTAATTTTAATTGATGAAGTCTATTACAAAACTAACAAAACTCCAGCTTTTTAAATCAAAGAAGATATTTGTTTTCTATTAGAAATCACTAGTACTAGTAAAAGAACCTGACTGGTAAAATGATATTAACATTTTTCTTTCTTTGGCCTAGAATGTGCTACAACTTGTTAATCTGTTTAATTAATTACATATTTACTCAAATAAAAACAATAACATTGATTTGTTATGAAATGGAATATTTACTAAGATGTTGCAAGGTATGCAGCTGTAGCGGAATATAGTTGGTATATTCATACACTTTATTAAGGTCCCGAGATTAATCTTACCTTAGAATCAGAAGAGGTTGTTTTTACCACAGGGAATTTTATTCAAACACTTTGTATTGACTTAGAGACAAGAAAAGAGAAATATGGGACGTTAAGAATATTTATTTTTATAATTATTCGAAACAATCACCAGGACTAACTCTATATGATGGATGCATATGGATGCTGAAGTGTTGGTGTGTGTGTCAGTTCAGAATCTCCATCTGATGCAGCGAGTCTGGGTGTAAGATGTTGTTTTGACTAACTAACCACGAGGGACTTCAGGAGGAAGAGACATGAAACGCCATCTATGCCGAACTACGTACCTTCGGAGACTCCCGTGTATGATCCGGAATGCCGGGTCCTCGGACCCTCCTTTGGTGCTGGAACTGATAGCACAGCGTCTGCAGCACGACAAACCAGTCTACGGATCGAATCCCGGTAGCAACGGCAGGTGTCAGCGTCACGTAGAGAGTTCAGCTTTTATTCTGAAGGAACCGTCGTCTTGTTGATAAACGACAGAATTTTCCAGCTTGACAGTTCTCAGCTTAAAAGTAGAAAATACAGCTGGCCAGTCTGTACTTTACTTAGCGATGATGGATTTAAGAGCTGGTCGAGTACTTGGTTGGAACTGCGTTGAACCAAGTTGAACTACGTTGAAGAGCTTCGTTCGAACTGCGATGGAACTCTGATGGAACTAAATTAAAATGGTGTTGTTCTGTTTTATTAAGCTTAGTTGTTTATGAATCTTAGCCAATTGGAGTGAACAGATTAACTAAACAACACAGACTCTGCCCCGCAACAGAAAAGAAGTTCTGATTGGATGAGGGATCAATGTGTCATGTTTTTATCTTATGTGGATCAGAATGTCTAGCTCAGTTGGTCCTGTTATTCATTAAACACATAATCATAACATTGTGATTTTACAGATCGGTCACTTGATTATTATTGACCAACAGTTATTTTGATTAGCTTTATTAGAAATAAAGTTCTTTAATTAACTAATGAAAAGCATTCTTCGTCCTTCTTCTGTCTTCTTTGCTGGAATGTAAACACCAGGAACAGGCGCACAACCGTGGCAATTTGTGCACACTGTCACTGTGTCAAAGGGCAGCTGTTAAGGGCAGAAATGGCATATTCATAACGCTACACAGCCATAGAAACACTACTTGGTATTTATTGTGTGTGTGTGTGTGTGTGTGTGTGTGTGAGCCGCAGCCATCTGATTCAAGTTCTGTTGGGTTTCTTCCTGTTAGCAGATTTTCCTCTCCACTGTCAGTACATGCTTGCTTAGTATGAGGATTACTGTAGTCTCTGCTGGGCTCCTTAAATAGGAAACGTTTAACTAATTGGCATAGTGAACTAAACTCAATTGGAATGTTTACTTAGTGCCTTGAGATGATGCTTCTCATGATTTGGCGCTATATAAATAAACTGAACTTAACTAAATTAATCATGTCAATCTACAGAAAATCAAAAGTAAAGTAAAATTTAAACTGCTGAATAGAAAAGCAAATTTTTAATCAGGGAAGTTTGCGAGCTCATCTTTTCCAATATTCCCTCCGCTGAGGATGCACACAACATTCTTCCCCTCCAGGTTGGGAATCTTGTTGGTAACGAGAGCAGCAAAGGCTGCAGAACCTGATGGTTCTACTACGAGCCCAGCTCTGTAGAGAGTAGAAACCGCCGCCTTGATTTCCTCATCCATCACCAGGACGATTCCATCCACGTAGCGCTGGCACAGCTCAAAAGGCAGCTTGCCTGTGGGGGAATGGGGGGGGGGGGGGTAGTGTTTTATAAACTGGTCTGAAACCTGAAGGGAGTAGGAAGAAACTGAAGTGTAACCTGCAAAAGGAGGTGCGAGACCAGAGGCGATGCTCTTGGCGTCCATCCCCACTGGCTTGTTCTCCTTAAAGCTTCGGTACATGGTGCAGGCTGGAACAAGACACACATTTACATTGCTGTTTTTCCTTAAAACATTCATGTGTCCATTATTAACCTTGGCCTGGATGCAAAATCCATTGAACTGGAAACAGGTGAGTTTCGGGTGAGCTCATTGTGAAGCCATCTTTGAACAGAGGCGGTGGTTTACGACACCAACTGTCTGCCATCTATAATCCAGTTTTGAGATTCCTTCCCAGATGCCTCAACGCCCACGCATATCCTGGGCCATGTGGCCTCAGGAATTTACATGATAGGGTGGGGCCAGGCTTCACAATGAGCTCACCCGAAACTCTGGCTGAATAGGACCCACACCCACACCCACACCTTGGCTCATGTGTTTATGTAAAAGATTATCAGGGGGTCTTTTGTTCCCTCTTGGGGGGGGGGGGGGGGGGGGGGGGAACTCCCACTGGGTTTGAATCTGGGACTCTCCACCATTTGACCTTAGAACTGAAGAAGCCTCTCGGATGAGAGGTGAAACGTCTTCAAGCAACTCAAGGAAGTCCAGACGCTTTTCTTTCAAAGCTCCTTAGGCTACAGCCCAATATTGCCCAAAATGTTTAATCTGTTTGTTTATCCCAAGCCCCCACAATGCGGCTCCAAAATTGAATCAAACCCGGAAGTACCATAAAATTGCAGTTCCACCCTCATCCGCTGGGGGCTGGTGTCAGAGGCGAGCAAATCCTCATTGACTCCCATGTTAAAAATACCAATTTCACAGCAGAAATAAACATGTTTACAGCCTGGTACCAAAATATGTTTTTTGTTTAAATTATTTTGTTTACACTCATGACAACTCTGAGGGGGTGAATTTTTTCTCACTCTTCTGTTTAAGTGTATTAAAAGCCTAAAATTCTGTATAAATAATGAGCATCCGACCCACGTGACCACAGAGCTAGCTCCGTGGAAAGGCCTCAGTAGAGCCTCGGTCTGGCTTGGAAACTGTTCCGGGATTTTGAGTCTCTGTGTGTGTGTATTCTTGTTTGGATATTTTGTGCAATTGTTGGACAAAATGACTTGCTGTGGCATTAATTGCACTAATAGAGTGTCCAAAGAGTCTCCACTTCATTTTTTTTGGTAAGTAAAATTATATTTATGTATTTTAGGTCACTGCCGAGCTGAGCTTAGATTTTAACATGTACTGTTTAACCATGAAATTTAAATGTAATAGGGTAAAACCCAGTGCATTTAACACAATGCTGCATTTTAGAAAATGGGTTGAAATATAACATGTTGGTGGAGATGGTTCCGACTATCGGCTTGTGGAGCTCTCGGGAGACTGATGTTTTCCACCCGTTTCTACCCTCCCCGCAGCCCGGCGCATCTCTGTCTGATCGCGGCTTCTGTGTGCTGCGCGGGCTGCTGGCTGGGTCTCCCCGCAGCTCGACGAATCTCTGTCTGATCGCGGCTTCTGTTTGCTGCACGGAATGCCGGCTGTTTCTCCCTGCAGCTCGGCACATCTCTGTCTGATCGCGGCTTCTGTTTGATGCGCGGGCTGCTGGCTGGGTCTCCCCGCAGCTCGGCACATCTCTGTCTGATCGTGGCTTCTGTTTAATGCGCGGGCTGCCGGCTGGGTCTCCCCGCAGCTCGGCGCATCTCTGTCTGATCGCAGCTTCTGTTTGATGCACGGGCTGCCGGCTTGTGGAGCTCTGGGATGAAAACCTTTCCACCCAGTTCTCCCCAGCGGCAGCTCTGCACATCTCAGATCGCAGCGGCGCTTGTCTGCTGTGCGGCTGCCGGCTTGTGGAGGTCTCGGAGACCTCTGTGTTCCACCCGGTTTTACCCAGCGGTCAGCCCAGCGTATCTCTGACTCAGAAGCTCTGGTGTTGTGCACAGTTAACTCCGGTTGTAGCTAGGTTGCTACCTCCGTTAGCTTAGCTCCCACCTCCGCGTTCACTTTGGGTTAGCCAGGGTTAGCTTCAGGTTAGCTTGTAGCTAGTTCGACCGGGTGTCGTCAGTTGATCCCAGCCTTACAGCCCCACCCTCAGCTCCTCCTCTCTTCCCTTTTTTGGAATTGTCTGGGCTTGACGGAACCTGTGACACGGTCAAAATGGCGGTGGTGGCCACCTCCCATTTGGCCTCAAAAACGTGATATTGGAGGCTATGGAAAGGAGATGTCCAGTATATTTATGCCGATGGTTTATCCACAAGGAGGGAAAATTATTTTCCAGGACAACTCAAAAATTTCCAGGACATTTTGCAATTCCCCCAATTTTCCATGTGTTTTCCATGACTTGAAAATTGGTCTTTCATTTTCCAGGTTTTCAAGGACGCGTGGGAACCCTGACAAATATCTTCATAAATGAGGACTTTTCAGAGGCTGTCCAGAAAAGAAGGCGAGAGCTACTCCCAGAACTGAAAGCTGCTTGCAGTAGAGGAGAAAGAGCCAGCTTAAGGTTTGACAAACTCATCATTAAGTCAAGGAATGAATGAAAAGGCTTCTTCTTCATCACATCTCTAATTGTATTGTGTTATGTACCTAATTTCAGCATGGAGTTTTAAATCTTTTAATCACTTAAATATTTTTATGAACTATCCGGATTTGAACAGTGTGTCAGAATTGATGAATCTTAATTGTACTACTGACAATAATGCATGCCAGATTTTCAAGCCTTTTGATTTTTCCACTTTTGATTCATACAATAGTGATGAGGACCCTGATTTAAAAATTTTTTCCTCGTTTAACTGCTGAGTATATGTAATGGTTACAATGAATCTCAGTTTAACGACTCATGTGCCTCTTTGCCTGCAAATTCCTTTTCTACTTTTCATCTGAATATTAGAAGTCTGCCAAGGAAGTTTGATGGTAACATTCATTATCTTTCATCTCTCAATCATGATTTTTCTGTTATAACGCTATCAGAATCTTGGCTTTCAGAGGACTCAAAAGAAATATTTAATATACCAAACTATAAATCAGCTCACAGAGTAAGAGCTAATAGATCTGGATGGGGAGTATCCCTGTTTGTCCATTCTCAGTATGATTTCAAAGTGAGAAATTACCTTGATTTGACAGCAGATGTGAATGAAGTAGAATCTCTTTTTTTGGAACTATCTAATGGTTTGAATGGGAAGAATGTTATTGTGGGAGTTATTTATTGGCCACCACATACAAATATTAAAGAATTTAATGAAAGTATATTTTTGTTACTTGAGACTATTAACAGAGAGAGAAAGCATTGTTATATCTTAGGTGTGTTCTTGCTGTGTCTTTGTAAATCCATGCTTTTCGTTCTTTTTTAAACACAGAAACAGTTTTATTTACCTGTTTGTAGCTACGGTTTCGCCGACAGCTGCCGGCTTCTTCAGGCTGACGCTGATGGTGGCGCGTCACTTCCTTCTCCGTTTATCTGCGGGCAGCAGAGGACGTTGTCGCCCTCTACTGCCCGCTCTCCCCTCTTCGACGATGCAGTCCCATGCGTGGTCCAGCGTGTAAACTCCGTCGTCCCTGTTCATGGTCCCACATCCACGTCTCCTTATCTCTATTGCTTCCTTGATCCATCTTTTGTATTTTTGTTGTTCAGTGGTTATGATCCGTGTGCTGTCCCAGTCCATTATATGGTTTTCTCTTAAGCAATGATCTGTTACGGCTGACTTTTTTATTGTACTTTCTGCTTCTTCTTTTGCTGCTCTTGTGTGTTTACGATTTGCCTCTTTCTCGCACTCCTTTCTGTGTTCTATTGTCCGTGTATTGAGTTGGCGTACGGTTTCTCCTATGTATGTTTTATTGCATATTTTGCATGGGATTTCGTAGATGACTCCACATTTTTGTCCAGCTGATATTTTGTCTTTTGGGTGTACTAATCTGTTTCTAACTGTTGTGTATGGCTTTGTTGGTGTGTTTATGTTGTGTTTTTTCATTGTTGCTCTTATTTTTTCCGTTATGCCTCTGATGTATGGTAGGGTTATCACTGGTTTTGGTTCTTGTCTTTCTGGGTTTCTGGTTCTTTTTTTGGGTTGTTCTTTGCTTTCTGTTTTTGTTTGTTGTTTTCCTTTGTTTATTGCCCATGTCGGGTATCTGCAGGTCTTTAAAGCGTGTTGTATGTGTTTGTCCTCTTGTTTACGGTCTCTCTCTTCTGTTATTATGTTTGCTCGGTGATATAATGTTCTGATTACTGACATTTTGTGTATGGTGGGGTGTTCTGATGTCCATAATAAATATTGGTCTGTGTGTGTTGGTTTCCTGTATGTGTTTATGTTTAGGGTCCCGTCGGTCTGCCTGGTAATTTTCATGTCCATAAATGCTATGCTGCCTTCTGTTTCTAACTCATAAGTGAATTTTATGTTGCCCGTGTCGTCAATATTGTTTAAGTGTTGTGTTAGTGTTTCTGTTTGACCTTTTGGTATGATTTCCAGTATGTCGTCTACGTAGCGTTTCCATAGTTTTATTTTGCAGTTTGGGGGGGCGGTGGCTATGGCTTTTTGTTCCAGGTCTTCCATGAAAAACTCGCACAGGGTGGCTGATAACGGGTTACCCATGGCGAAGCCTTCCAGTTGTTTGTATATTGTGTTGTCGTATGTGAAGTAAGTGGAGTTAGCTACCAGTCCTATCAGTTGTGCTATGTCATCTGCTGTGAGGTTTGTCCTTTTATGTAAAGTTTTGTCTTGTCTGATTCTGTTAACTACTATGTCTATGGTTTTTTGGGTTGGTGTTTTTGTGAACAGAGATGTGACGTCATGTGAGATGAGTATGTCGTTGTCTTCTATTGTAATTTCCTTTAGTTCTTTTGCCAATTCTATGCTATTTTTGCAGTGTTGGTCTGTATTTCCTAATAACGGGCTGATGATTCTGCTGATATCTTTTGCCATGTTGTATGTTGGTGTACCTATGCTGTCAACTATTGGTCTAAGTGGGGTGTTTTGTTTATGTATTTTTGGTGTTCCATATATTCTTGGTGTTATGTTTGCTGTAGGAATCCAGTGTTTGTACATTTTTTCTGTTATTTTGCCTTTTTCGTGCAGTGGCTTCAGTAATTTTTTCATGTTTTTCTTAATGTTTTCTGTTGGATCTTTTTTAAGTATTTCATATGTATTTTTGTCTTCTAGCATCTGTTTCATCTGTTGTTTATATTTTTCTCTGTCCATTACCACTGTGGTTCTTCCTTTATCTGCCGGTAGAATAATTATCTGTTCATTTTTGGATAAAGCTGTCATGGCTGATTGTTCTTCTTTTGTAATATTGCTGTGTTGAATTTGGCTGTTTTTTAATATCCCAACTACATTATTTCTGAGTTCTGCTTTCTTTCCCACATCTGTGATCTGTTGACATGCTAGTTCTGTTGCTACAATAAATTCATCATATGGTATTTCTTTTGGTGTGACTGCAAAGTTTAAACCTTTCTTTAATATGCTCTCTTCTGCTTCTGTTAGTTTGTATTGTGAAATGTTACATACCCATGAGTTTGGTGTGGAGTTGCCTTGTATTTCTCCCCTCTTTTTCTTGTTTATGAGTCTGTTTAACTTCTTTATGTGTCTTTCTTTCACTTTTATGAACTCTTGTTCCTGTTTTTCCATCATGTGTCCTTTAATTAGTTCCTCCATTTGTTTATCAAGTTTGTAATTCCTTTTCAAGTCCAGGTGTCCTCTTTCCAGTTCGTCCTCCACACGCCTCTGTTTGGTTATGACGTTCCTTATCCTCTCCTTGAGCAGTGCTCTCTGTGCTCTTTCTATTATATTTTGTGCTGTCTGGGTCCGGATCGATGTTTTCAGCTGTAGGCTTGTGGGTGTGATGTTTTCGTCCCGGCATCTTAAACAGAAGCGAAGGTGGTTTCTTAGACGTGCGCGTTTCTGGTGTAATCGTTCCAAACGGCGGAAGTCCTTCGTTCCTTGTTGTCCGTATTTCTCTTTGAACATCTTAGGTGTGTTCTTGCTGTGTCTTTGTAAATCCATGCTTTTCGTTCTTTTTTAAACACAGAAACAGTTTTATTTACCTGTTTGTAGCTACGGTTTCGCCGACAGCTGCCGGCTTCTTCAGGCTGACGCTGATGGTGGCGCGTCACTTCCTTCTCCGTTTATCTGCGGGCAGCAGAGGACGTTGTCGCCCTCTACTGCACACAAACACACAAGAGCAGCAAAAGAAGAAGCAGAAAGTACAATAAAAAAGTCAGCCGTAACAGATCATTGCTTAAGAGAAAACCATATAATGGACTGGGACAGCACACAGATCATAACCACTGAACAACAAAAATACAAAAGATGGATCAAGGAAGCAATAGAGATAAGGAGACGTGGATGTGGGACCATGAACAGGGACGACGGAGTTTACACGCTGGACCACGCATGGGACTGCATCGTCGAAGAGGGGAGAGCGGGCAGTAGAGGGCGACAACGTCCTCTGCTGCCCGCAGATAAACGGAGAAGGAAGTGACGCGCCACCATCAGCGTCAGCCTGAAGAAGCCGGCAGCTGTCGGCGAAACCGTAGCTACAAACAGGTAAATAAAACTGTTTCTGTGTTTAAAAAAGAACGAAAAGCATGGAAGCATTGTTATATCTTGGGGGATTTTAACTTAAATCTCCATAAATATAAATCTGATTATCTTTTTGGGGATTTTTTAAATATTCTTTATTCAAAATATTTTTTTCCTTTGATCCATATGTCAACTCGTGTTAATGAAAAATCAGAAACCCTAATTGATAACATCTTAACTAATTGCTTGACAGCACATGAAATCTGGTATTTTGTACTCTGATTTGTCTGATCACTTTCCCATTTTTCAATTTTCTGATTTAGATGAAAAAAAGAGTAGAAATACAAAGAAAATATTATTTAACAGAAATATGAGTAAGCAAAACTTTAGTGAGTTTAAAGATATGTTAGCTGACACCTCCTGGGTGAAGTGTATAAGGAGAATAATGCTGATCTTGCATATCACAAGTTCATGGCAGTTATTTCTAACTGTTTTGATAAATGTTTTCCTTTGACTAGATCTGTCAATAAAGCTAAGCAAGCATTTAATAGGGAGTGGTATACATACCTTGAGGAAGCTTTTAAAGAAAAAAAAACTATATAAAAAGTATATTTCAAATCCTACTCCGATTAAAGATGCTGCGTATAAACTAATCAGAAATAAATACACCAATTCTATTAGATCTGGGAAAAAAAACTATATTAGCAATACATTTTATAAATGTTCAAACAATATAAAATCTACTTGGAAAGTTATTAACAGGATTCTTCAAAGGGACAGAGTTTCCTTAGGAATACCATCTGTCTTTGAAGATGGTGAAGTTTCTATGAATAATCCATTTGATATAGCTGAACATTTTAATAATTTTTTTGTAGGTATTGGGAAAAAACTAGCTAATGAAATTCCAAGTTGTGAGGGTGATCCTCTGGACTTCATCAAAGGTTCGTTCCCTATTTGGTCATCATTTAGACCCCTTGATCGGCAGGAAGTAAGTGATATCATTGACCAATTAAAAACATCTGCAGCTGGGCTCAATAACATATAAGTATTACTTACTAAGCAGGTGAAACTATTTATTTTAGAACCACTCTTTTATATCTTTTCTTTGTCTCTTCAAACAGGTTTTGTACCAGATTAATTAAAAAATGCAAAAGTTGCCCCCGTGTTTAAAGCAGGAGATCCTTCTAATTTTTCTAACTATAAACCCAGTTCTATTTTGTCTTCTTCTTTTTTTTCAAAAATTCTGGAAATAATAGTTTTTAATAGAATAATTCATCATTTAGATAGCAATGCAGTTATTAATGATTGCCAATATGGCTTTCGTAAAAATTACTCCACCTATATGGCTTTACTCAACCTGACCAACAAAATTTCAACTGTCCTGGAAAACAATGAATTCACTTGCAGTGTTTTTTTAGACTTTTCTAAAGCCTTCAACACTGTAAATCATAAAATACTTTTAGCTAAATTGCACAAATATGGTTTTAGACATACTACTCACAAATGGTTAACCAGCTACATTTCTAACAGAACCCAGCTTGTTTCAGCTAAAGGATGTTTTTCCAACAGAGCTAAGCTTGATTGTGGGGTACCACAGGGTTCAATTTTGGGTCCTCTGTTGTTCCTTACTTATATAAATGATACATTTAATGTATCTGTCACACTATCACCAATTACGTTTGCAGATGACACAACTCTAGTGGTATCACATCCAAATTTTGAAATATTGATTGAGGTCAATTATGGATTAGCTGCCTATAACGCATGGTTCAAATTGAATAAATTACCTTTAAATATCAGTAAATCTAATTTTATTATATTTAGTGGAAAAAGGCAAACAATATAGGTGTAAATCAAATTAAAATTGACGCTACTGAACTACCACAGGTTTCATTTGTAAAATTGTGGGGAGTTATTGTTGATGAGAAATTAAATTGGAAAATGCATGTTGATTATGTTAGTAAAAATTAAGTAAATCAATCGGTATAATAAGGACAGTGAGCCCTCTTGTCTCTAAAAAATGTCTTCTAACATTGTATTATAGTCTAGTGTATCCTTATCTTGCATACTGTAACATGATCTGGGGTGGCACATTCCCTACTACTCTTAACAGAATTTTACTTCTTCAGAAACGCTTTGTCAGAATAGCAACTAGATCTGAACTACATGCATCTTCTGTTCCTTTGTTTCAGAGGCTAAATATACTGACTATGAATTGAATATTCACCAAATGTGTGTCTTTATTTATAGGATTTTATTGACAAATGGTAAAATACCCAAACAATTCAAAACTTTCTTTAGAGCTAATTCACTCATTCATTCACATAATACACGACCGTTGATGTGTCTTCACCCCCCAAAATATCTTTCTTGTCTAGGACAATTTTCCATACGTTATAGGGGTTCAATTCTGTGGAACTGTTTTTCTCATCTGGCAACACAGTGTATGAGGCCAGAACGCCTCATAACACAGTGTTCTACTGTGGAAGTATTTAAAAAGCAGTTAAAAAGCCATCTAATAAAGGGAGAGCATGTTTAGTAACTTTTATTTTTTCTAGTACTTGTATTCTGTTTTAAGGTATTAAAGGTCTGGTGTTTTTTTAGTAAAATTTGATGTACTTATCCATTTTTCATTTGCTTGTTTGTGCCTTTATATTTTTGTCATGTTTTAACTTAGTACTTGCAAATTTTATTAGATTATTAACTATAGGTGGAGGCTTTGTATAAGCCGAATTTGGCTTTTTTGCCCCCTCCTGCACTGTATTTTTTTTAATATAGTTGTTATTCTCATGTTTTTCATGTATATTTTATTGTGCAAACAAATAAATTACAAATTACAAATTACCTCCTTCTGGTTCCACGCCATAGATCCTGGTTTTATGACAACCTGACAGTTTGATGGCAGCAGCTATCCCAGCCAGCAGGCCTCCTCCCCCACAGCAGACCACCACAATGTCAGGCTCTGGCACCACCTCCAGCACCTCAAAGCCTAGGCTGCAGATCGAACAGGAATAAAAGGGAAACCACTTTGATTGACAGGACATAATTTGTGGATCATAGAGTACCTGGCATGTCCGGCTATCAGGTCCAGGTCATCGTAGGAGTGCAGAAAGGTCATGTTTTCTTCCTGCACGCAGCGATTCACCACGTTCATCAAAAAGGACGTAGGAACTCGCTCCACCTCCACTCCGAAACTCTGTGGACGAGAATCAAATTTGAAGTGGTTTATCTTAGAGACAATTCAATAAAATCAGTGCAAAGGTCTGTCCTCTGACCTGAATAAGAATGGATCTAGACTCTGGGGCAGTTTCTGGCATAACCACCTTTCCCTTTGTCCCATAGTGCTTTGAGGCATAAGCAAAAGACTTCCCATAATTTCCAGCAGACATGGTGACAAAATGGCCACCCTCAGGTCTCCTGGCAAACTGATTGGCCACCCCCCTGATTTTAAAGGACCCTGTCAAGCAAAAACAGATAAGGTCAGATGAGTCAGTGAGTCAGAACAGGCTCCAAAGCAGATTCTACTGACCGGTTCTCTGCATGTTCTCCAGTTTGATTTGGATGTTGCAGCTGATAGTCAGAGGAAGGGTGGTTTGACTCCAGGGGATCATGGGAGTTCTGATGACACCCAGCGGGCTGCTCATCACCGTCTCTCTGGCTCGTCGTAACAAATCCAGAGTCACTGTGCCTGCAGAAACCTGACACATCTACACAAACACACACACACACGACAATGCATTCATTCTTTTCGACAAATAATCATACTTCTAAAAATAGTGATCCAAAGATTATACTAGTATATGTACTGGTGTTAGAAGTGTGAATCTTCACTAGTCTCACGACTAGATTTCATCAGTGAATAGAAGAAATTTGCCTTCCAATTCTTGCCTTGCATTTAGTTGATATGATCCACAATGGTTCAAATATTAGCTTGTAATGTCTTTGGAGCAGCTTTAGAATCAACAATTTATGCCACTGGTAAATAAAATCAAATTGCCTTACACAACTATCAGCTATGGTGTGCTTCTTCAATGATTCATAATAATTTTAATCCGCATCTCGATGCATGGATTATTAGATAAATTACCCCAGCTCTAACTAGTATACATAATCTTTCTAAAGAGCTCTGCTGACTTCTTTGGATGTGGTGGATCTGCAGCTTTACTCTGAGCTGCCTCTGATGATGAAGCTCCTAACCTCATCTCTAAGGCTGAGTTCAGCCGCCTTACAGATGAAGCTCATTCAGCCGCGTGTATCCTAGACCTCATTTCTTTGGCCATGATCTAAATCTCCTGACCATAGGGGAGGGCTGTGGGCTAAACTCTACTACTGGTTGTGCAGCGCACCAGGCCAAAGACCACAGGTGACAGATCATTTGCTGCTGTGGATCCCAGACTCTGGAGCTCTCTTCCCTTGAGCCTAAGATCAGTGGACTCAGTGGTCTCCTTTAAAACGCAGCTGAAACTTGCATGGCTTTGATGCGAATTTCCTGCAGATCCACTTCTTCCTCCATGGCTTCTTTTTATGCTGCTGTTTCTGTAATTTCTATATTTTTCCACACTCCTGTGTTGACATTTTTAAATTTTCTTTTTTCTCTCTCATTTTTTGTTATGATCTTATTAAAAATGTTTTTATATAATTTCTCTGATTTCTAATTTGAGAGGAGCTATATAAGAATCCATTTTTTTTCCTCTTCAAACTTCTCACAAACTAGATATTTAAACTCCTCCATTGGAGACTCATTCCCAACCCAGGGAGCATTCCATCTTCTACCATACAGTCCATCACTACATTAACGTGGTGAAAAGGTTTGTGAAATTCTGATCCTGGCTCTTGTTATGTGAAGCAGTTAGTGCATATTCAACTTTTTACAAATTATGGCTCATGAGCTTTTTTATTTATCTTTTATTAATAAGATGAATGATGATTTGTTAAGAGAGAAACACTGATTTGTTTAAATGTTAGAGTTAATATCTGTATATTAAAACAAAATGGTGCCAATCTGAATAAAAATAAGTTACTCATTGTTTGTATTTAATTTTAAGTGCTATTGTGACAACTTTAAGATCTGCTTCTTCAACTCTGACATGTTTTATTATTATTATTAAATTTTTTAAGAACACAGCTGCCATGCTCATTAGCAGCAGAATTTTTTTTCTGCAGCTGCTATGAAGGAGTTAGTCTTTTTATTGAGGGTGCTATAAAGGAAGTGGTCATTCGTGCCTATTGTTCTCTAAAACACCTTCAATACTAGCAGATACATATGCGTGCACAAAACCTCAACAACACCTGAAACAATCATTAATATACATCATAAGCATATGAACAATAACTGACCATGGATGGATGGATGATAATTTACTGATTATTTTTGTTTTGTATGTTAAACATTATCACATCCACACGTTAAATTAAAATTAAATTGTAGATTTAAAAAAAAATCTAATATTTACTTGGGGGTGCTATGACTAATCCAGGGTAGCAATACCCCCCCCCCCCCCCCCCCCCCCCCCCCCCCCCGACGCCCCCACTGGTAAGCAGACTTATCTCTGGTCTATTTTACTTTTTAAATCTGGATTTAAAAAAAATCTATGCCATGACTAGAAACTATGTTAAAATCAACGTAAAAAAATAAATATGGTCACTTGTTTAGCATACTTTACTGACCTTTGTATCTGTTTGAATCGCCTGCGTGAAGCTGAAGCGCCAGATGACGGTGTTACAGCTTTTAGGGTTCGCCTCTGCACAATAGTTCCGTCAAAATGAGTGTTTCGAGTCGGCCCAAATTCATTTCCGGACCTTAAAATTATGATATCAGTTAGCGAAAAAGTGTAACGTAAATTAGAAAAATTTTCATGATTTTTTAAACCTGAACAGGATGGGTTTAATAAGACACGTGGTGTGTGCCATGTCTGGGGGAGTTGACAGCTCTGTGGCGGCTCTGTTACTGAAGAGAAGCGGTAAGAAAATTCGCGTTTTATTTTACGAGCTTTAAAAGTCAGCACGTGTTCCCGAAAACACTTGTTATTTTTGGGTCTCTGCTGTGTGAAGGCTACAACGTGACCGGGGTTTTCATGAGGAACTGGGACTCTCTGGATGAGAGCGGGGTCTGCACCACCGAGAAGGACTGCGAGGACGCCTTCAAAGTGTGTCAGATCCTGGACGTGCCCTTTCACCAGGTGTCCTACGTCAAAGAGTACTGGCACGACGTATTCAGGTATCGTGCCCCCGACAGAAACCAGTTTAATTTCTCAACTTAACTGTAATTGTTTCTGTAACTGTGCCTCGTGTGTTTGCAGCAATCTGTTAAAGGAGTACGAGAAGGGCAGGACTCCAAACCCTGATATATTATGCAACAAACACATCAAGTTCAACCATTTCCACAAGTATGCCATCAACACTCTGGGTACGTACTCATAACTGGGATTATTATTACATAAGTAGGTGTCTGGGTAAGAAAACTGGAGTTTTAGGAATGGTTTTAAAGAATCCTATCAGCAGAGATGTGGAAGTGAACTTTATAAGCATAAAATTAAATCCAGTTCACACCTGCAGCTGTTCCTAACTGATTTAAAGTGGATTTTATGATTTTATCTTTAAAAACGCAACAAAGTTATGTAAGAAACCCAAAAACCTGACATAAACTCCCACAAACTTTAATAACAAACCACAACATAGGCAACGACCTGTAAAGTATCAAATGAATACAAAAAGACTAACCCTAAAAAGATGTTACTGTAAACATAAAACTAATGTTTCTGCTTGTACAAAATCTGAGTCTGCTCACAGAAAAGAAACTTCCACCAATCAGAAAGACTGGCCTCAAAACTAGTGCTGAGATCCAAAGCTCTGAATCACACCTGGAGATGCAGCACGTAACCAGCTGGAGATCACACATGGGTTTAGCTCTGGGGTTTCTTTCTACCCAGGGTATTAGGTAGTGTAACAGAAACCTGCAAGAGGAATAAATAACTAAAACACGGTTTTCTGTTTTTCAAGTTCAGCATCACAAGAAAGCCTGTAAACACACAGGACTGTTGAATGTCTCAACCATTTTGATCGGCAAGGGTGATGTTGAGTGCTTGAAGCTTTGGGAAATGAACAAATATTTAAGCAGAACTCTCATTTACCTAAATCACAAAAAAGCCTAAACGTTTCACCCAAAACATCAGAGGTGAGCTGCTCAGATTGAATCCGATGTGAGTTGGAGACTCATGGTCCATCCCAAGTGTAGAGGGAAGAAGGCCACAAGTTCCAGATGAATAACACAGCTGGGCTGTTGAGTCAGCCACCTGCTGCTACACGGTGTTGTTAAAAAATTAACCAAGTTTCATGAAATAAGCACCAAGAACCATGGAGTAATATAAAAATGGTGTGGTTTTATTGTTTCAGGAGCTGATGCCATGGCAACAGGTCATTATGCCAGGACATCCCAGGAGGACGAAGAGGTCTTCCAACAGCCCTACACACCCCCACCCACCTCACTGTTCAGAGATCGGTTTGAGATCAGAAACTGTAAGTCCGTTTTTTAAGTTCACTTGTAAATGATTGGTCAGGTTTGCTTATTTGGGCGAGTCACCTGGTAGGACAGCCTCTGATCACGCTTCTGAGGAATGCCAGGATCTCACTGCGTTTTTCGGTCGTTGCACAGGACTGCTCATGTCACAATGTGAAAACTCCAGTGGTGGCACATTGTCCGGCGCAAGATTTCTGTGAGTCAGACTGCACAACGTCTCACACCAGCAGGACACGCTGCATCATGCGTGCACCTCCTGAAAGCATATGCATCTAAGCAGACCTCCAACCAATAGAAAACCTGAAAAGAGTAAAACGCTCCACTTCTTTTTAGTGTCGGCTCATGACCTAGCTCATCTTCCTCAAAGAGGAGGCATCGTTTTCAAAACTCCCGCTTTGGTGTCAGACTCCGACTGCAGGTCTCCTGTTCCTGTCTTCCAGTTAAACAGCTGATCTGTCTGCTGGACATTCATCCTCCTCTTCCTTTATACATAAAAACCCACTAAACTGCAGAAAAGTAACAACCTGTCCAAAAGCTAAACTTTTGCAGTGGATTCTGTCTCACTGTTTACTCTGTAGCTCCGCTCCGTGACAGCTCATCACACCCGCTGTCATGGAGTGGAACTTCCTCTGTCCCTCAGCAACAAAGTTGTTTTGTGTTCATGAGCACTCCTCCTCTCACAGATCACATAATCACAGTGTTCACAATTCAGCAGATGGTCTTAAAATGTAATTTAATTATTTTTTAATATAACTGCAGTTTTAAAAAAATACAAACGAGTGTGTGTGGTTTATAATTTTAAACATAAATTAAAACTGAAGCGAGGCGTAGTCTCACTGCTGCGGCGTCCCAAAGGTGTGTTTTTATTGGTTGTAGACAGGAGTCGTAGGTTTTAAATCAGTGCTTGAAGACTGTGGTCGTGAGACGGCTCAAAAAGCTGTCGAAGAGCAGGTCACACTACGTTTTTTACCACGATTCTGCTCACGACGAGGGATTTTGCTCAGACCGCCAAAAATCGCACCCTGCACTGAAGGGTTAGAGTTAGTGAAGTGGCTTCGTGTCTGAACTAAAGAACCTGACAGAAATTCTGAGAGTTTGTTCAGTAATTTGCAGTTTAATGGCAACAATTTCTGTTGATTTTCTGCTTTATTTGTTGCACTTGTCATTCACCGTTTCTTTCCATCTGTGTTCAAGTTTGAATTTTTTAAATAAAACATTTTTTCTTCCACCAAGCTGTGAAGCTCCAAAAAGGAGCCGACCTTGTCAAAGACCAGACCTTCTTCCTCAGCCAGATCTCTCAGGAGGCCTTGAGACAGACCATGTTCCCGCTGGCCGGACTCACCAAAGAGTTTGTGAAGAGGTTAGCTGCTGAAGCGGGGTTTCACCATGTTCTGAGGAAAAAGGAGGTGTGGAAAAGAAAAGCACTACAAAACAAATGTTTTGTTTACTATTAAAGGCTAAACGGAGCCTGTTGCTGTTATTTCAGAGTATGGGCATCTGCTTCATAGGAGAGAGAAACTTTGAAAATTTTATCTTAGAGGTGAGATGCTGAACGTAAAATAAAAGAAACATCTTCGTGTCTGGCTCGGTTTCACCGTTTCCTTTTTTGTTGTCAGTACCTAGATCCTAAACCGGGGAACTTTGTTTCCATCGAAGACGGGACCACCATGGGAACACACAAAGGTACATCTACAATCATCTTCAGCTTTTAAACGTCCATGCAAGAAAACACTATCCCCCATGTATTTGGTCTCCAAACTTGTTTCTTCCAGGCTGGTTCACGCTGACGTTGGGTCAGAGGGCACGGATAGGAGGACAGAGGGACGCCTGGTTCGTGGTGGACAAAGACATTGTTACTGGAGACGTGTTTGTGGTGAGAAAATCTGCCTCCTTCTTTAAAAAAAAAACACTAGCTTTGGGCAGTAAATGATCATGGTATATATCCAATCCAATCCAATTTTATTTATAAAGCGCATTCAACAAGGCATTACAACCAAACAAGGCGCTGTACACTAAAAAATGTAAGTTTTATATATATATATATATATATATATATATATATATATATATATATATATATAAAAGAAGAAAGCTTCTGTGTGATGGAGGAACGGAGCTTGCGGAGGTTGCATTCGCCCCCAGTGCATTTATTTCTACTGAGGAAGGTGCTTACCCAACTAAAACAGGCATTTTATTAAGCTTTTCACAAAATTAGACACATGCCATGCCATGGCATGGTTGTTATATAAATATCATAACATTAAAATATAAAATCCTATCAGGTAGGCTAGTAAAGTCAATCGTAATCCCACGCCTTCTGTTTTCAGTAGTGCGCTGGTTGTTGCAACCTAAGGTTTCTCACGCTGCTAGACTCCAGTAGTGTTTAGCTAGTGACTGGCCCATCCAAAATGGCGCTGTTACCCTCCCCAGTGCCCATTGGTGTAACTACATGTTTGATATTCATCCTCACCGTGTCTTAAACATGCTGAATTAATCCCCCAGGCTCCCACCACCAGCCACCCAGCTCTTTATCGTGACACTGTGCGAACCGACCGCTTCCATTGGATAGCTGTGGACCCGCCACCCGAACTGGTCCAGACCCAGATGCTGGAGTGTCACTTCCGCTTCATCCACCAGATGCCACTAGGTGAGATCTGTGAGTCTAGAACCTTGTATAAAGCGACGATTCGTCTGAAACACGATTCCTTTTTTGTAGTTTCCTGTACAGTGACTCTAAACCTGGATGGATCCGTGTGGATTTGCCTCTCACAGCCAGTCAGGGCTCTTACAACTGGACAGGTAATGGCCGCCGTATCAGAGATATCTCCCAATATCCATTTAAATTCACAAACATTTTGTGTGCTTTTCCAGTTTGCGGTTCTCTATAAAGGAGACGAGTGTCTGGGCAGTGGGAAGATCATCCAGCTGGGACCCAGTGAGTACACGCTCCAGAAGGGCAGAGAGCGCTCTGAGGCAGGTGTGCAGCAGAAAGAGCAGCCGACACCTGAACTGGATGAGATAAAGCCCCAGCATCACTGAGACTCCTGCTGGTGTTGAAGTGCCCTGAACAGCTTTTTTTTTTTTTTTTTTTTTTTTTTTTTTTTCAAAAATACGTTTTCCTGCAAGGACTCATAACACAAAGACTACTTAAGGAGATTGATATATTATTTGTTGTGTATATTTAATGATTTTTTTTAAACAGAAGTCTATTTTTGAAAACTGTCTCATAAGCCATGCCTGTATGTAAACACGGGGTGAAGGTAGTTTCTGGAACAAAACATAAAAATTCTCCTTTCTTTTTTCTGTTGCTAAGCCTTGATAGGCTGTAGTGTCTGTGTGTGCTGCTGTTTAATCGGAGAGCTTTTATTTAGTTTTATTCCACTGAGACGTCAGATCAGGACCTGGGTGTTCCTGAATGAGCAGAAATGTGTTGTTCTTCTGTAACTGAATAATTCATATTTGTAATTTGTGTAAATTTACGCTACATCAGGGCTATTCAATTACGAGCCGCTATCCGGCATGTTTTAGTGGTTTCTTTGCTCCAACACACTTGATTCAGTGGTTGACTCACGTGTGCAGCAACTCATCAGGCTCTGCAGAAACTAATTGGAATCAGGTGTGTTGAAGGGTTAAACCAAAACGAGCTGGAATTGAACAGCCCTGATCTACATGTTTGTACAAAATCCTCCTTGACTTGATAAAATGAAGGGTGTGTGTGTGTTTGTGTGTTTATTTATTGATGCTTCAAATGATTTGTGTTAGATTCTGTATTGGCACTGGTTTCCAACTGTGGCTAGTGAGGGCCCTCATCCAGTATGAGGTAGGCAGCCCTGGTCCTCGAGTGTAACCGGTTACCTGCTCACACACACTTGATTTTAATAAGCAGGTCGTGACCAGGCTGCTGCAGCTCTTGATGACTTGCTGAACAGTTCATTTAATTATTAAATCGGGCTTGTCAAAGAAAGGAAACAGTTCAATCATGCTGGATAAGAACCCGGCCTAGAGGACTGGGACACCACTGAAATAAGGTAAGAAATTAAAGCGGAGACCTGAGATGCTGCTTGCTTTGCCATTTCTTTTACTGTAAGTTAGCTATTTGGTTTAAAAAATATGTTGTAGGTTAGACTTTTACAGTAGTTACATTTTCCAACGGTTAACTATATTATGTAATCTGAAATGTTTACGACGTTTTAAAAATGACATTTCTTTAATTACACGTGAAAGGTAGAAAGAATCCGTCTGTCAGTGTGAATGAATCAACCACAAGAGGACGCTGTGGGAAAACATTCACCTAGAGGTGAACATGTAGAGTCGGTGGTGTCCTCTAGGGCAACAGTTCAGCCTGTTTTAAAGGCTCACATTCCCAGATAGCACAGCTTCTTGGAGGTTCTCAAACTCCATCATGCTAATAAGGAGACTCGATGACTTCCCTCTGGGCTGGGATGAGCTTCTATGTGAACTGGATGAGTTCATGTATCCTGATGTATGGTTTTTGTGATAAAACTCAGCAAGAGATGCGATCAGTTCTTCTGCAGTAATGATGGTGTTGCTTTGGTCTGTATTGGTGAAGAAGGATCATCTGCAGCAGGGATAACCAATCTTGGTTCTGGAGATCGCTGTCCAGCAAGTTTTAGTTATTTCCCTGCTCCAACACACCTGATTGAATAACTTGTTCAGTAGGTCATCGAGTTCTGCAAAACATGTTCATCGAGCAAGGAAACCTGGCCCTTGAGGGCCAGCTTTGGACACCACTGTGTTAGGTGAAGTCCTACGAGATTCAAAGTATGGTACTGCTTTGTTTAGTCTCAAGTGCGTTTTTTATTTTGACATATATAAAGACATTTAATGTTGTACAAAAACTTGCTTATCTTCAAATTTCCTGTTGGGGAAACTATACAGAGACTTTTTGTCATTAGATAAGAGAAGTTATCAGCAAAGTTATAAGAAATGAGGTGGGACACAATTATTATTAATACTGTACATTAATTCTGTGATGTTTATTAATTGGCTATAAATTATTTTTAACGGGAAAAATTCTGGGACATCAATCTAGTTCTTTTCTATTTTGTGATCACCTTTTTAAAAATGTTAAAAATACTTTAAAAATACAACAACAGCCATCCATGGGTGCGGTGGAGGACTGCCAATTGATCACTAAAACTATGATTACGCATTTTCTTTTATTGAAGCATAAAGCAGAAGAAAACTGAACATCAGAAACATTGAAAAAACAAACAAAACCTAATCGGAACACCTGGCATCAGTACTAATAATATAGAGGTGAGAGAACATCAAAAACCTTTTTTTTTTTTTTTTTTACAAGAGAAGAACTTAAAGTGTAAAAGTTGTAGAATAAGTGTTGATTTTTATTCCAAATTCTAACATTATGCGTTTTTTATTTTTATTTGTTTTTACTAAATTGCTATTTGGAACGTTAACTATTTTGTATTTATTAAAAAAAAACCTGTTCACAACTTAACAAAAAGAAAGAAAAAGGAGATGCTCATTCCACACGGACTTTGGCGAACATCGATCCCATTTTTGGGAATAACAATGGGCTTGTGCGTATTTGTCACTGGGTCAGTGGCACTTCCAAAATTTACATAAGAAAAAAAAACAATAAAACACCCTCCCCCTTCCAATCCCTGCGTGAAAGCGTCCCTAAGGGGGATCACAGCAGGTTTATGGAAATAAGCTGAGGAGGAGTAGCTGTAGGAGGAGGTGGAGGAGGTGGCGGAGCCATTTTGTACTCATTTCAAACTCCGTGTGGGTTCACGCAGCCGGTGCGCACCGTGGATACACTGGGATGATGGATACCTGCCACCTTTCCCGCATGAAAACTTCACCATGAGGGTCAAAAGTAAGACGCGGTGTTGGGAGAGGGACAGCTGATCCTTGAGCTAGGGGATTCCTGTGGAGTTGGCCGGGATTGGGCAGGTAATTCAGCATGGAGCTGTCGATGTGTTGCGTCTGGGTCTGTGCCCTGCTGACGGTGCCGCTTGTGGGATGTTTGGAGATGCACCTTTCGGAGACTTTACAGCCCGGGAATCTTTTAGCCAACCTGTCGCTCGGCTCTGGGTGGACTTATAGCCTCGACAGGACATTATCTCCCAAATTTATCCAGAACATTTTTCACGTTGAGTGGAACAGTGGGCTGATCCGTTTGTCCCATAAAGTTCTGTGCGCGCACACGCCAAGGAACCCGGCGCCTGTTTATTTCAGAGCCGGTTCCTCCACGTCCGGAGACGTTATTCTCACGCATTTTAACGTGTTTGTGCACGGGCAAGACTGTTTTATTAAATACAAGAGAAAGAAGACGGCAAGTAAGCCTGACATTCACATAAAACACTTTTTAAAACTGAAGGCAACTTCCTGTTTGCACGCAGGTGAATGGTTAGTGAATGTAACAGAACTTCTGCCAACTTTCACTCGGAGTATTATCCCCTTGAACGCGAAATGTGTTGGAGAGGAGGACTTTGTTGCTGTGTTTAGACGTGGGGATATGATCCTTGTCAATGACTTGTGTCTTGAGCACAGAGAAAATTTGCACTGCGCTTTGCCCAGCTCTCCAGGCGGCAGCGTCTCTGTGCAGCTGAGTCTGATGCTTCAGCATGGTTCAGTATCAGAAACAGCCCACAGAAAGTCAAATCAACTGATGCACAGGAGGAAGCGACAAGTAAACACCACTCCGCAGTTCCAGCTCCCCAACTATCAGGTGTCTGTTCCAGAGAATGAGCCTCCAGGTACACAGGTCATCACCCTGAAAGCAGTAGACCTGGATGATGGAGAGGCGGGGAGGCTGGAGTACAGCATGGAGGCTTTATTTGACAAGAGATCTGACAACTTTTTTCAAATTGATGCCAAGACAGGGGGCATAACAACCATCCAGGCACTTGACAGAGAAGTGAAAGACACCCATGTTTTTAAAGTTACTGCATCTGACAACGGGACCCCCAAAAGGGCTGCCACATCTTACCTCACAGTTACGGTGAGTGACAAAAATGACCACATTCCTGCTTTTGAGCAAAACGATTACAGAGTTAAAATCAGGGAGAATGTGGAAGTTGGCTTTGAAGTGATGACAATCCGTGCCACTGATGGTGATGCCCCTTCCAACGCCAACATGATTTATAAAATTGTGAATGAAGACGCCATCAACTCTGTGTTTGAGATTGATCCCCGGACTGGTCTAGTGAGGATCAGGGAGCGGCCCGACAGGGAGACCCAGGCCCAGTACAAACTGATAGTTGAGGCCAATGATCAGGGCAAAGACCCTCATCCTCTGACTGCCACTGCTACTGTTCACATCACTGTGGAGGATGAAAATGACAACTATCCACAGTTCAGCGAGAAGAGGTATGTTGTACAGGTCAAAGAGAACGTGGCAGTCGACACAGAAATCATCCGGGTGGAGGCAACAGATAAAGATGAGGGAAACAATGCCAAAGTTCACTACAGTATCATCAGTGGCAACATCAAAGGACAATTCTACATCAACTCCCCCACTGGTGTGATTAACGTCATCAACCCTTTGGACTATGAGATGATTCGTGAGTATAATCTACGGATTAAAGCACAAGATGGTGGCAGGCCTCCACTGATAAATGGCACAGGGATGGTTGTGGTGCAGGTGGTTGACGTAAATGACAATGCACCCATGTTTGTCAGCACACCTTTCCAGGCTACAGTGTTGGAAAATATGCCGATTGGTTATTCTGTTATCCACATTCAAGCAATAGATAGTGACTCAGGAGAAAATGCTCGCCTAGACTACCGGCTCACTGACACCATGCCTGGTTTTCCATTCACCATCAACAACAGCACCGGCTGGATCACTGTGAGTGAAGAACTGGACAGGGAGACTAAAGAGTTCTACACCTTTGGTGTGGAGGCAAGAGATCATGGGATACCTGTAATGTCCTCCTCAGCCAGTGTCAGCATTACCGTGTTGGATGTAAATGACAATGTGCCCACATTTACAGAGAAGACCTACTCGCTGAAGATCAATGAAGATGCATTGGTGGGGACCAGTGTGCTGTCTGTGACAGCCATAGATAGGGACATTAACAGCGTGGTGACATATCAAATCTCCAGCGGTAACACCAGAAACCGTTTTGCCATCACCAGCCAGAGCGGCGGCGGCCTCATCACCTTGGCACTCCCCTTAGACTACAAACAGGAGCGACAGTTCGTTCTAACAGTTACAGCCAGTGATGGAACACGCTCTGACACAGCTCAGGTGTTCATCAATGTCACAGATGCTAACACACATCGCCCGGTCTTTCAAAGTGCCAACTACCAGGTCACGCTCAGTGAAGAAAATCCTGTGGGCTCTCCTGTGGTGGTGATCAGTGCAACAGATGAGGATACAGGGGAGAATGCTCGCATCACGTACATCATGGAGGACAATGTTCCTCAGTTTAAAATAGACCCAGATACAGGTGTCATCACTACTCAAATGGAAATTGACTATGAAGACCAGGCCTCTTATACTTTAGCCATCATTGCCAGAGACAATGGCATCCCTCAGAAATCTGATACCACATATGTGGAGATTATCATCCTGGATGCTAATGATAATGCTCCTCAATTCTTCAGAGATATTTACAAGGGGAATGTATTGGAAGATGCACCTACGTACACCAGCGTACTCCAGATCTCTGCTTCAGACAGAGATTCAGGCCCCAATGGCAGAGTGAGCTACACCTTCAAAGGTGGAAATGATGGAGATGGGGATTTTATGATTGAACCGTACTCTGGTATCATCAGAACTAATCGCAAATTGGATCGTGAGAATATTGCTGAGTACAATCTCAAGGCTTTTGCTGTGGATAGAGGGGTTCCTCCTCTGAAAGCAGAAGTTTCTATCCACATTACTGTTCAAGACATAAATGATAATGCTCCAGTGTTTGACAAGGATGAGTTTTCTATTGATGTGGAAGAGAACAGCGAGGTGGGATCTGTTGTAGCCCACATCGTTGCTACTGACCCGGATGAGGGCACCAATGCTCAAATCATGTATCAAATTGTTGAAGGTAATAATCCCGAGGTTTTCCAGCTGGACATCTTTAATGGAGAACTCACTGCGCTCACAGACTTGGATTATGAGACTAAGACAGAGTACGTCATAGTGGTCCAGGCCACATCAGCACCGTTGGTGAGCCGGGCCACCGTGCGCATCAGGTTAATTGATATGAATGACAATGAACCAGTACTGAAGGACTTTGAGATTATCTTTAACAACTACGTCACCAACAAGTCCAACAGTTTTCCTACAGGAATTATTGGGAAGGTACCAGCTCGTGACCCGGATGTTTCGGATAAACTAAAGTACAAGTTTGAGTCGGGGAATGAGCTCAGTGTGCTGCTGTTGAATGAAGACACTGGGGATCTGAGATTAAGCAGGGACCTCGACAACGACAGGCCTCTGGAAGCCCCCATGACCATATCAGTCACAGGTGAGCAATTATCTAATGTCTAAAGCTTCCTTACTCTGAGAAATCCCTGCTTTGATGATCAGTTTCATTTGCCAGTACTTTTAAATGAGGACGGAAATCTGAGTTGCTACTTGTTATGTGTAATCACACTGCTCAGCAAATATAAATGCACAGAAACAGTGGCAAGTTTCAGCTGTAATGTTAACTGCATGATCTGTTGGAAGTGTTTGCTGCAGGCTATCTGCAGGATCCAGTTTTGCAGCTTTTCAGTGCTAAATCTATTGTGTGCAAGTGGTTGGTTTGTGTAATAAAAAAGGTGCTGTTAGCAGAACCCTCATGACCGAGCTGCTTTGTTGGAGCACTTATGTGGGTTTCTGTGAAAGGAAGACACCACATGCAAGTAGTGTGTATGTCAAGGAGTTTCTCTCAGTTTGTGGTATTGTGCCAAAACACAACCGAGTGGCTGAGCATCTTGTTGTAGGATGTTCATTGGTTTACCTAAAGACTGGTTCAGTCCGTTATGTTTTAGTTACATAGAAGTTTAGAAACATGTCTGTGATTGGGGTTTGCATATAGAGGCATTCATACGGTTAAGCCATGTAGAAAGAATTTGTTCTGAGGTGTACAGAAGTAGACTTTGTTCTTTAATGTCAAAGATTAGTCAGATACAAACACCTGAATGTTCTAACTGCTACTGCACAGGTCACTGCACACAGTCACTTTGCAAGAAAATCCCTTTAGCAAGCATAAAACGGGAGGATCTGATACCTGGTGCAGTAACCACCTGATTTACCTAACCACAGCTGGTTTGTCCATCAGTTTGATTAAACATTGAAGGTAATGTTGCGCTCAAAGACTCATCAGGTGGTTTAAGACTTTCTCAGAAGTTCACTCATTTTTTTCCAGACAATAATTATTCTGAATGACCTGCACTTTGTCTCCGTCTTGGACAAAAATGGCATATTGTTCTTTTTCTAAGGGCTTTATGGCTGTTATAGTGGACCCATGGAGCATCTGAAGAGGCAGCTACTCACTAGGTTACAGGCCCTCAGTCAGTACACACACGCATGTTTTTGTGTATCCATGACAATGGTGACGTCTTCATTGTCCATTCTGGGGCTTGACCACTTTATTAGATGCAACTCCATGCACAGAAATATGTTAGTTTTGCTGATTTGTGTCCCTCCTTAGAATAAATCTAACATCTATTTTAGGGTTCACCATCATGTCAAGTGTTCGGTAGCCATTACCTGATGGGTTGACCTTTTGACCTAGGGCTCTAGAAAGAGGAAAGCCTCAGGGAATTGATTGGCAATCAGCTCTTTAACAAGCACACAAAGACAAAACACCAAATGTGTCTCACACTCTTTTGAATTCACCCCCCTTGAGCTACCCCACTCCAGTATTTAGTCTTTTTGCTCTGTTAATGTTTTGACCTTTTCTTTGTCGCAGTGTTCTGTTTAGACCTTTCAGTCAGAGGAGCTCTGGAGCCAATTTAGCTGCAGCTAGCTTTATTAAGCTGAAAGCACTTATCTGAACTCTGTCTCAAATAATTTAATGCCAAGCACAGGTGTTTATTCTGTGTTTGAGGGGACGCTCAGAACCATCTGTCGTTAGAAATGTGGTCCTTTTTTCCCTCCCTTTTGCTGCTCTTGTGCTTTATTTCTTGTGAACCACAGGTCTGAGAATATTTTTCTAGCTTTTCCCTGAAACACAATAGCGCCCTGATAACGCGACTAAGATACACTTGTTTAACACACTTAGATAGCCACAACACTGCCCCATCTGTCCTCCTACTCTAACCACATTAGTGTGTGTGTGTGTGTGTGTGTGTGTGTGTGTGTGTGTGTGTATGTGTGTGTGTGTGCGCGCGCGTGCGGTGCACTGGCTAAGGGTTGTGTTTGACTCATTGTAGGCTCTTATAGGAGCTTGTCAAATTTCACCTAAAACCTTTAAGTTTTGCGCTGTTTTCTGACAAATCAGTTGATTTTTGACTTGTTTTTTTTACCTAACTTAATCAGATGGAGTGTTTTGGCCATTTCAGAGCTGGAACAGGACTGGTAATTGTTTAAGGCCTGCCTGGTCCTAGTTTGACTTTATGCTTGTGTACTTGATAAAGGGCTCAGACGGAGTTGTTCAACAGTGATGTAGATTGTATTCTGCTTGTATTTGAACACATCTTAAAGGCATAATGACATTAATTGAAATCTAAACTAATCTCAAGAAACTAGTATTTTTTTATGTACCTACTGAGAAGGAATAAATGACCATTCATACAAAAGATAAGTTATAAGTGAAGAAAATGTTACACATGTTGAAAGGCGTGTAATCCGTTTTAGTGTGGATTTCCGTCATTTAAACAAAGATATAAAGACCACTGATCACTTGGCTTTTATAACCCATACTTGGGATGTAAAAGAAAAAAGGCCTAATGTGTTTTTCTTTAGGAAGCTTTCACTTGATGTGCGTTCTGATAAGAGCTGGTGTTGAAGCGTGTGCACACAGGTTATTGTTTATTAGTGATGCCGCATAGCTGATTGTTGCTTAAACAATTAGAAATGATTCTCTGTTTGTTCTCCTTACCTTTGGTTGTTAAGACAGCATGATGCTACTTGCACTCTTACACCACACACCCTCCATCTTTCCCCATGGGGCTTTTGCTGAGCTTCCCTGCTTTAAGGTTTGATTCTTAATCCTTCTGGAGGAGTTGCACGGCTTAGCTTTTCCACATTTCTGCTCTGGTCTTTAAAGTCCTCCTTTAACACTTTATTTTTCAGATGGAATTGAATTGCTTTGATATAAACAGCCAGTGTACAGGTGCTGGCCAGTAAATTAGAATATCATCAAAAGGTTGAAAATATTTCAGTAATTCCATTCAAAACGTGAAACTTGTACATTATATTCATGCAATGCACACAGACCAATGTATTTCCAATGTTCATTACATTTAAATTTGATATTCATAAGTGACAACTAATGAAAACTCCAAATTTGGTATCTCAGAAAATTAGAATATTCTGAAAAGGCTGAATATAGAAGACACCTGCTGCCACTCTAATCAGCTGATTTACTCAAAACACCTGCAAAGGCCTTTAAAAGGTCCCTCAGTCTTGTTTTGAAGGCACCACAATCATGGGGAAGACTTCTGACTTAACAGCTGTCCAAAAGACAATCATTGACACCTTGCACAAGGAGGGCAAGACACAAAAGGTGATTGCTAAAGAAGCTGGCTGTTCGCAGAGCTCTGTGTCCAAGCACATTAACAGACAGGCGAAGGGACGGGAAAAATGTGGTAGAAAAAAGTGTACAAGCTCTAGGGATAACCGCACCCTGCAGAGAATTGTGACGACAAACCCATTCAAAAATGTGGGGGAGATCCACAAAGAGTGGACTGCAGCTGGAGTCAGCGCTTCAAGAACCACCACGAGGAGACTCATGAAAGACATGGGATTCAGGTGTCGCATTCCGTGTGTCAAGCCACTCTTGAACAAGAAACAGCGCAAGAAGCGTCTCGCCTGGGCCAAGGACAAAAAGGACTGGACTGATGCTGAGTGGTCCAAAGTTATGTTTTCTGATGAAAGCAAGTTCTGCATTTCCTTTGGAAATCAAGGACCCAGAGTCTGGAGGAAGAGCGGAGAAGCACAGAATCCACGTTGCATGAGGTCCAGTGTAAAGTTTCCACCGTCAGTGATGGTGTGGGGTGCCATGTCATCTGCCGGTGTTGGCCCACTCTGTTTCCTGAGGTCCAGGGTCAATGCAGCCGTCTACCAGGAAGTTTTAGAGCACTTCATGCTTCCTGCTGCTGACCAACTTTATGGGGATGCAGACTTCACCTTTCAACAGGACTTGGCACCTGCACACAGTGCCAAAACCACCAGCACCTGGTTCAAGGACCATGGTATCCCTGTCCTTGATTGGCCAGCAAACTCGCCTGACCTTAACCCCATAGAAAATCTATGGGGTATTGTGAAGCGGAGGATGCAATACGCTAGACCCAACAATGCAGAGGAGCTGAAGACGACTATCAGAGCAACCTGGGCTCTCATAACACCTGAGCAGTGCCACAGACTGATCGAGTCCATGCCACGCCGCATTACTGCAGTTATTGAGGCAAAAGGAGCCCCGACTAAGTATTGAGTGCTATACATGCACATTCTTTTCATGTTCATTCTTTTCAGTTGGCCAACATTAGAGGAACAAACATTTTTTCATTGGCCTTTAGAATATTCTAATTTTCTGAGATACCAGATTTGATGTTTTCATTGGTTGTCACCTATAAATATCAAAATTAAACGTAATAAACATCGGAAATACATTGGTCTGTGTGCATTGCATGAATATAATGTACAAGTTTCACGTTTTGAATGGAATTACTGAAATATTTTCAACCTTTTGATGATATTCTAATTTACTGGCCAGCACCTGTAGATGATCGAACACAGAGATGTTAGGATGACATTTGCTGTGTTGTTGGGTTGTTTCATTCAGATAAATTTGTGATATTTTTGTAAAACAGTTTACAGCGGCATAATTGCAGTCAGGCAGTAGCTTTTAGGCAGTTAGGTAATGTTGGGATTTTATACACATGACACAAGAGTTCATTTGGAGGATTTATTCCCTGAGCAAGTTAGAGAACAGAACATCACCTTTGTGTTTTTCCTCTGCAGCAAAGTTGTGAAAAGATGAACATGGTGTGGTGCATTTGACCTGAGACTCTTCTATATACAGTGAGGAACATAAGTATTTGAACACTTTGCGATTTTGCAAGTTCTCCCACTTAGAAATTATGGAGGGGTCTGAAATTCGCATTGTAGGTGCATTCCCACTGCGAGAGACAGAATGTATAATAATAATTTAAAAAAAAACAGGAAATCACATTGTATGATTTGTAAAGAATTTATTTGTTTTGCACTGCTGCACATAAGTATTTGAACACCTGAGAAAATCAGTATTAATATTTGGTACAGAAGCCTTTGGTTGCAATTACAGAGATCAAAATTTTCCTGTAGTTCTTGACCAGG